GGCGTGACTGTGTCAGGAGCAAGGGAAAATCCAAGCACTGTGCGGGGAGGGTCTGGAAGCACCGGGCCAGCGGGGCGCTCCGCTCGGGAACTCGCGGGGCAAGACGCGCGGAGCCGGAGGCCGGGCTCCCCCTGCGCCCGGGCCCCGCGCCGGCCTTCGGCCGCCCCCGCCCTGCCCGCCGCGCCCGCACCTCTCGGTCCTTGAGGCCCAGCAGGAGCACCTCCTCCATTAGGGTCAGCCGCGTTTCCTTGGAGTCGCCCTTGTCGTCGTCGTCCTGCTCGTCGCGGCGGCTCTGCGCGTCGTCCTCGCCGCCGCCGCCGCCGCCGCCGCCGCCCGCCGCCCGCTCCTTGTCGGCGGCGCTGCGGGAGGCCTCGGTGCGCCGCTGCACCAGGCCGGAGCTGCGCTGGGTCAGCGAGGTCATGGCTCCCGCCGAGACGCCGTGCTGGGCCGACAGGGACGCGGGACCTACCGGGTCTCCCTCCTCCTTCCCCCGCGGCCCCGGACCCGGGCTTCCGTGTTAAATCCCGGCGCTGGGGCGACGTCCGGCGGCAGCTGGGCCGGGGGCAGTCATGGGGAGACGGGGCGGGCCGAAGCGGGCAGGCCGGGCGTCGGCGGGGCGGGAGGGGGGGCTCTTCCTTCCTGCGTCCGCAGGGCCCGAGGAAGCCCGAGCTTCTAGGTGGAGGCGGAGGTGGCGGCGGCGGCGGCGGCTGCGCCTTCCCAATATGGCGGCGCTGACTGACGTCACCGGAGGATGTGGCACAGCCGGCGCGGGGCGGGCCCGGAGGGCGCCGGAAGCGTCGGGCGGGGACCCCGCGGCGGGGTCGAGGGCGGGGATCCGCCCACGATGACCCCTTGCTGGTCCCTGGGTCACCGCTGGCCCTCGCCCTCTGCTAGGCGTCCCTTGGCCGCCGGGCCCGCGATCCCCCTCCGGAGACCCGTGACGTGTCCCCCCCGCCCCCGTCCGCCTCCCCCTTGGCCCCTGGGGAAACCGGGCCTGGCACTGAGACTGGCGAGGTCCCCCACGAATCGGCGGAGTCGTGGCCTAGCGGGGCCGGACCCGGCTCAGCCTCAAGCTGTGCCCTTCCCACGGCAGACGCCACAGTCCTCAGAGTTTGGCCTCGGCCGGGGAGAGCGCGGAGGGGGGGGCGGGGAAGGGTCCCGGCTTGGAGTCCGGGGTCCCCAAGAGACACAGGAAGGACTTGCTCGCTGCTGATAGCGCGAAGGGAGAGCTTTTTTTCTCTCCCCACACACCCTGAGCCTTCCGAAGGAGTAACTGCATTTAAATGGCTTGAAAGTAGACTTTTAGTATTAAAGAGAAGTTAGAACAAACTGAATAGTTGTGTTTGTGGAACTTCTTCCTCGCCTCCCTACTTGTAAAGTGATCAGGACGCAGGGAGTACAGTTAGTAGTGCTGTACACGTCAGTGCACTTGACCTTAACGATCTTTTTACAGAGACAATAAACCTGTTGGGTTTCGTGCCACGTCTTTGTGCAAATTAAATCTCCCCCAATTTAATTACTAGGTGAAATCTTCTTGGGGTTCTTGACAGTTTGTGCAAGTTATGTTATAGCATGGGCGTCAAACCTGAGGGGGAGTTTGGAGGGCCAGAAGAATGGAGCTTATAAATAAAACATCCAGAAATGGCAAAGTATGTCATCCAGTATTATTTAAAATCAACAGTGACCACAGGGGCGCCTGGGTGGCTTAGTCGGTTAAGCGTCCGACTTTCGCTTAGGTCATGATCTCGCGGTTCGTGGGTTCGGGCCCCTCGTTGGGCTCTGTGCTGACTGCCAGCTCAGAGCCTGGAGCCTGTTTCAGCCTGTGACTCCCTCTCTCTCTGACCTTCCCCTGCTCACGCTGTCTCTCTCTCTCTCTCTCTCTCCTAGAAATAAATAAAACATTAAAAAAAAATTTTTAATAAAAAATAAAATCAACAGTGACCACAGACTGAGGCTACAGAATGATTTAGATGGGAGAAATCGAGTTCTCTCGCCTCTACAAACCCGTTCTCCAAAACTCCCGCTGGCTGCACACCGTCACCACCCCAAACCCGGGAAAGTGAGAATGCGAAATCTGGGGTGAGCAGAGAGTAAGGTGAACACAAAGTAGACTCTCCCTTTTACCTATCTTTCTGGGCAAAGGTCATTTTCACCTCAACCAATTTCTCTGATTCACATCCTGTTCAACTTTTTTTTCCTTTTATTTCCATAGCACTTCTTTCCCAAGTAGCTTAAAATGTTTCTTTTTAAAAGGAATTTGTTTAGTAGAGTCAAATGCATAGTTCAAGGAGTATAAAAATGAATATAGTAAAAATCTTCCTTCTAGCCCTGCCCCTATTCACCCAGCTGTTCCCCCCTTCTTCTCTCCTGGTGGTTCCAGAATACCTCAATCAAATTCTCTGTTACTCCTTTCGAAAGATGAAGCCTGAGGGGGCGCCTGGGTGGCTTAGTAGGTTAAGCGTCCGACTTTCGCTTAGGTCATGATCTCGCGGTTCGTGGGTTCGAGCCCCGCGTCGGGCTCCGTGCTGACTGCCAGCTCAGAGCCTGGAGCCTGTTTCAGTCTGTGACTCCCTCTCTCTCTGACCCTCCCCTGCTCACGCTGTCTCTCTCTCCTAGAAAAAATAAAAATATTAAAAAAAAAAAAAAAAAGATGAAGCCTGAGGCTCCTGGGCGGCTCAATCAGTCAAGCTCCTGACTTCAGCTTAGGTCATGATCTCAGTCTAGGAGTTTGAGCCCCTACTCTGCTTCTGGGCTGACAGCTCAGAGCAGGGAGCCTGCTAGGAATTGTGTCTCCCTCTCTCTCTCTCTCTGCCCCTCCCCCATTCACATTCTGTTTCTGTCTCTCAAAAATGAATAAATGTTAGAAAAAAAAAAAAGATCAAGCCTAATTCCCCTCTGTTGAGTGCAGACTAGACTCAGTGACTCTCTTCAAATGAGTAGAATGCATGGAGGTGTCTGCAGTTTCTTCTCTCGTGCTCTCTCGCTCTTTCCCAGTCTGTCTCTCAGATAATTCACCCTGAAGGAGGCCAGCTGCTGTATGGCAGACATTCAAGTAGTTTTGTTTTGTTTTAAATAGAGACTTTCCTTTTTTTTTTTCTTATAATGGATGGTGGTTCTAAACTGGTTTTTTTTTTTTTTTAAGTTTATTTATTTATTTTGAGAGAAAGAGGGAGAGAGAGAATTCCAAGCAGGCTTCACACTGTCAACGCAGAGCCCAGTATGGGGCTCAGACTCACAAACTATGAGATCATGACCCGAGCCAAAACCAAGAGTCAGGTGCTTAATGGACTGAGCCACCCAAGCGCACCTGCACCCAAGCAGTTTTATGGAAAGGTCCCGCTGGGAAGGCACTTAGACCTCCTGCTCAGAGCCACGGCAGTGACCCATCTGTGAAGGATCCCCCAGCCCCACTCAAGCCCTTAGCTCACATCTTGACTGCAATCTCATGAAAGATTCTGAGCCAATCACTACCACCCAGCTTAGCCATTCCTCAACTTCTAAACTACATAAACTGCAAGATAATAAATATCGGTTGTCTTAAGCTGCTAAATTTGGGTCATCTGTTACATAGTAATAGGTATTAAAATACTTGGGTGCTTATACAAACAAATAGGTAAAATTAATAGTATTTTTATGAAAATCAGGAGCACCTGGTTGACTCAGTTAGTAGAGCATGAGACTTTTTTTTTTTTTGAGGCGGGGAGGGGCAGAGGGTGAGAGAGAGAATCTTAAGCAGGCTCCACACCCAGCATGAAGCCATGGGGCTCCACTTCTTAACCATGAGTGAGATCATGAACTAGCTGAAATCAACAGTCAGATGCTTAACCGACAGAGCCACCCAGGCACCCCAAAGTAGAGCATGTGGCTCTTGAACTTAGGGTTGTGAGTTCAAGCCTCACCCTGGGTATAGAGATTGTATTGTTATGAAAATATGCTAGGAAACCTCACTAAAGTAGAGGTCAGAAGGCTGGAAAGGGGAGGCTAGAAGGGGGAGCCAGCCCACTCAACCTCAATGACAGGAAGAAATGTCAATTTCAGACCCCCAGCAGAAGAATCCTCAACAGGAAATTATCAGTTACAGGCCCCAACAGGGAAAGGATGTATATTGCATCTCCTACTAGAAATCAGCTACCTCTGTGCTAACTAACCTGGATGTAAATTTAAAAAATAAAAATAGGGATGCCTGGGTGGCCCGATTGGTTAAGCGTCTGACTTCGGCTCAGGTCATGATCTTACAACTCATGAGTTCAAGCCCCACATCAGGCTCTATGCTGAGAGCTCAGAGCCAGGAGCCTGCTTTGGATCTGTGTCTCCCTCTATCTCTGCCCCTCCCCCACTCACACTCTGTCTCTATCTCTCTTCTTCAAGAATAAATAAACATTAAAAAAAATTTTAGGTAAAAATAAGAAAAAGAAAAAAGAAATCAGCTACCTCTGCTTTAATTCAGCCAATGAGAAATCATCACCACGCTGACTCTTGCTTTTCTCCAATGGACTTTCACTACTTTCACTTCAAACAACCTCTCCCAACTTCCTTCTTCTCCATCAAATAACATTTTTCTCTTTTGTTTATCGGACTTGCCTGCAGTTTTGCCATAGCTTACTTACCATGTTCTGAATTGCAGGTCTCTTGTGTTCTCAAATAAACACATTTTTGCTGGTAAAATGACTGACTTTTACTAACACTTTCTTGGATATCCTTCCAGAGATTTTCTTATGTATATTCAAACAAGTATGAAAATATGTTTTCCTTCCTTTCTTATGCAAATCATAGCACATAATACACATTGTTTTGTATCTTGATTTTTTTTTCACTTAATGTTGGAAAACATTCTATATCAATACTGAAGAGTTTCTTCATACTTTGTTTCAGCTACATCATTTTCTATTGTAATACATCTTATTTTTAAGTTAATCCCCTATAGATGGACATTTAGATTGTTTCCCATTCTTTGCTATTACAAACAATGCTATAATAAATATAATGAACTGCCATGTATATTTTGTCCACAAAAATGCATGTTCATGGTCTGTCTATCCATGCACACTCTTCAAATTACAGAGACTTTCCACAGCTTCATTGTTTGTTTTTTCAGTTTTTCTAGCATTTTCCCTTTGTTTATTTTCCACAAACTAGACTTCAAAATCACCTTACCTGGAAAGAGAGAAGGATAGAAGGAAAAGACATGATATTTTGGGAACCAAAATACATATTACAAGTAACAATGACCATTTATTTATTGACCACTGAGAATGTGGCAGGTGTGTTCTCCAGGAACCCCCACCCAAATGCTGCAGACTAGGTGTGGGCTGTTCTGCATAAACTCCAATCTCCTCATGCAGCAAAGCCTGTCCGCATACCTCATGCCCATGCAGAAGAAGCTGGAAGTGTGCGGGAGTTGGCACTTCAAGCTGGTAGATAAAAGTTTCCCTTTCTCTCTTCAAACAGATCTGTGAGATCCTTTATACAATTTCTCAGTGGCACTTTAGCTGCAGCAAACTCAACAACACACTCCTGATGCGGCTCTCTCCTCTTTACCCCTCTCCCCACCTCTTCTTTGCTTCTGTTCTTGGAAGCTACACTCCCTAACAAAATAGTGGCACAAAAGCATTTGTCTCAGGCTCTGCTTTCTCAGAAGCCCAGATTAAGACAGGGGCACTGGCTGGCTCGGTCAGCTGAGTGTCCGACTTTGGCTCAGGTCATGATCTTGCGATTCAGGAGGGTTCGGGGGTTTGAACCCGGCATCTGACTCAGTGCTGTCAGTGCAGAATCTGCTTCTGAACCTCTGTCCCCTTCTCTCTCTGTCCCTCCCCCACTTGTGCTATCTCTCTCAAAAATAAAGAAAAAACATTAAAACTTTTTAAAAAGAAGACATTTGTAAAGAAACTGTGGTTCAGAGAAATTAAGTAATCTGTAACATTACACATCCGGTAAATTGCAAGCAAGTGTTAATGAAAAACACATTTTCATTAGAACCCCAGTCCTTAATCCAATCATTAAACAAATATTTGCATTTATACATATTTGCTGTATGCCAGGCACTGTGCTAAGCAATGAGGATATTACAATAAGCCAAAAGAGACACAGTCATAGCTTTCATGATTCTCTTTAGTGGAGGGCACAGATATTAAGCAAATCATCACACATTAACATATAAATTGAGAAATGCTTTGAACATATTTGAATACAGGGGGAATACAGTATTATGAGAGCATGTATTCTCAAATATGTGAGAAGTTTATATTTTATCTGGAACTCAGGAAAGTAACTCTGAGGAAGTAGTAAGCCAAAGAATGAACCAGAAATTAACTAAACCAAACCTCTCATGCCTGAAAGGAAAAAAAATAGCATGTGCAAATGCCCCGTGGCAGGCAGAGATCATGGGATAATGGAGAATGAAACAGAAGACCATTTTGGCTAGGCTAAGGGGGAGAGTGTTGTCAAAAGCAATAGTGACAGACAAGGATGAAACCATGCAGTGCTATAGGGCCATTTAAAGTTTTCGATCTTTTTCCAACCAAACACAATGAGAAGCCATCAAAGGTGCTTTTAAATGCCTCCCTTGTGGGCAGAAGGATGGAATGGGTGAGTGTGTAAAATTATCAGGTTTGCATTTTGAAAAGCTCCCCCAACACATGAATGAGACGGTCACATTGGATGCAGAAGCCAGTTAGTGCTTTAGTAATCCCATAGGGCCTGATAGTAGCTTAACTCTAACTATGGAAGAAGGGATGTTAAGAAGTGGAAGTTTCCAAAAGATACTCTGAAAGTAAAAGTAATAGAACTCAGTGGAAGATGGACTGTGGAGTGGGTGGGCCACAAGGAAGACAGGTTTTCAAGGGTGACTCCCTCAGCTCTGACTTGTGTACGATCACACAAGAAATCCACGCACTGAGAGGGGGACTCCAGGGCCCTGACCAGGTTTGCATTTGAGTTCACTTCAGTTCAGTTTTTGAGACGCCTCTGAAGCCTCCTAGAAGAGATGTTGTGTAGGTGGTTGGATGTATAGGTGCTTTTTGTTTTAATCTGAATAAAATTTCAAAACACCTAGCAAATGAAACTATAAAAGCACAAAAAGAAAACTATGAGTGAACTCTTTTATAGTCTTGGGGAGGAGACATGTTTCTTACCATGACTCAAAATTTGAAAGAAAAAAATTCTTTTTCTGAATTATAGATTGACAAGAAGTTGTAAAATTAGTACAGAAAGGACTTGTGTAGTCTTAACCCAATATTCCCCAGCAGTAACATCTTATACATCTACAGTACAATATCAAAGCCAGGGAAGGAATACTGGTATAACCCACAGACATTATGTAGGTTTCACAGGTTTTATATGTACTTATTTGCGTGTATGTGTGTGTGTATGTGTGTGTGTAGTTCTATGCAATTTTACCACATGTGCAGATTTGTGTTACCACCACCAATCAAGGTACAAAATTGTTCCCTCAGCACAGAGATCCTTCACAAAGACCCTTTATAGCCCCACCCCTCCCCCACTCCATCTCTAAGCCCTGGCAACCAACAATCTGTTCTTCCTATATAATTCTATCATTTCAGAATGTCGTATAAACTGAATCATACACTAAGTAGCCTATTGAGCTTGCCCATTGTCACTCAGCATAATTCCCTTGAAATCTACTTGTATGTATCAATAGTTTGTTCCTTTCATACTGCTGAGGAATATTGTGCGGAATGGACGTTACACAGTTGGTTTACCCATTCATCCGCGAAAAGCCTCTGGGTTCTTTCCAAGTTGTATCTATTACAAATAACGCTGCTCTGAACATTTGTGTACATGCTTTCTGTGGCCATGGTTTTCATTTCTCTGGGATAAATACCCAGGAGTGCAACTGGGGTCACATGGTGAGTATGTGTTTAGCTTTTTAAGAAACTGCCAAAATGTTTTCCAGAATGACTATTTCATTTTTCACTCCTACCTCAGCTGTTCCCTGAAGCACAGCAATATTATTGACATAACTTGCAAAACTTTTAGAGACATTCAACAGTATTATTATTTTTTAATTTGGTACGATGATTGCAAAGATTTACTGAGCATTTGTTATATTCCAGAGATGGCTCTAAGTGCCTTACACATTAATTTTAAACTAAATTGTATCTGTAGGTCATGATTTTTCACTCCCCTATATTTACACATCCACAGCCTTGCTCTCTCCTTAAAGCCTGTGGAGGATAATTCACCCCTTGCCTGTAGGCTCGCCCGGAGTCTCCACCTCTGGGTTGGCCATGTGACTGTCTTTGGCAAATAGGACGTCAGCCGATTGGATGCTGAGGCAGGAAATAGGCTTATGCAGTTGTACTTTCCTTTTGTGCTCTTGGCTACTGCCATGAGAAGAGGTTCTTTGATGGCCATGAAAACACTTCCTCTGGGTAGTCTGCTGGTCCCAGAAGAGTGAGAATGAAGCAGACAAAAGCGAATACTCAGCTTGGAGCCAAGCCTAACCCAACCCAGCTGAGATCTGCAGAGCCATTCTGGCCACCCTGCGATGGCTGAAATAAATGCTTACTGTCCTATGACACTAAGATTTTGTGTTATCGAATAGCCTACTTAGTTCTCATGACATCCTGATTATGTGCTATAATTAGCCCCATTTTTCAGAAAAGGAAATTGAGACACGAGATTAAATCTCTTGCTTAAAGTTCCACAGCCTGATTCCTAAATCCATGTTCTTAATCAGGATATCACAGTGAATATCCTGATTCCTAATGAATTTAGGGCAAAAACAACCATGTGGAGTGTTTTTTGTCATAAAAGGCATAAAACTCCAGTGAGACGAATGTAAAGTTTCAAATTTTAAAAAACATTTTTTAAGGGGTGCCTGGGTGGCTCAGTCAGTTGAGTTGTGACTTCAGTTCAGGTCACATCTCCTAGTTAATGAGTTCAAGCCCAGAATTGGGCTAGCTGCTGACAGCAGAGAGCCTGCTTCAGACCCTCTGTCCCCTTCTCTCTCTGCCCCGCCCCTCCTCACACTCTCTCAAAAATAAATAAACATAAAAAAAGATTTTTAAAAATTTTTAAAAGGAAAGCCAGAATCCAATGTTTTATTTTATTTATTTTAAGAGAGAGAGAGACAGAGACAGAGACAGAATTCCAAGCAGTCTCCATGCTGTTGGTGCAGAGCCCAATGCCATGAAATTATGACCTGAGCTGAAACTGAGTAGGTGGCTTAACCCACTGAGACATTTGGGCACCCCTCAAAGATTTAGAATTTTAGGGCGCCTGGGTGGCTTAGTCGGTTGAGCGTCCGACTTTCGCTTGGGTCATGATCTCACGGTTCGTGGGTTCGAGCCCCGCGTCGGGCTCTGTGCTGACTGCCAGCTCAGAGCCTGGAGCCTGTTTCAGAGTCTNCCGCGTCGGGCTCTGTGCTGACTGCCAGCTCAGAGCCTGGAGCCTGTTTCAGAGTCTGTGTCTCCCTCTCTCTCTGACCCTCCCCTGCTCACGCTTTCTTTCTCTCTCCTAGAAATAAATAAAAACATTTAAAAAAATTAAAAAAAAAAGATTTAGAATTTTATTTTGGAACCAGTAATAAATTCACATACTTCAAAAATAAAAATAGAGCACCTGGGTGGCTTAGTTAAGCACTGACTTTAGCTCAGGTCAGTGGTTTGTGAGTTCGAGCCCCACGTCGGGCTTTGTGCTGACAGCTCAGAGCCTGGAGCCTGCTTCGGATTCTGTATCTCCCTTTCTCTCTGCTCCTCCCCCACTCACGCTCTGTGTGTGTCTCTCTATCTCAAAAATAAATAAACATTTTAAAAAATGTTTTAATCAAAATGATAAAAGGAATATACGTAGAGAAGTCACAATTCTACCTATGTCCCCATCTGTCACAGACATAATTCTAACATCGCTCTTGTGATTCCTGCCATCCCGGTATCTACTCTGTTGTGTGATCCCCTCTCCTTGAGCGTGGGCAGAAGCTGGGACTTGCTCCTAACTACTAGAATATGGCAAAATGGGGAGACAATGTTGCAGATGTAGTTAAGGTCTGTAATTAATTCACTCTGAGTTAATCAAAAGAGAGCGAGCCCCGGGTGTGCCTGGCATGGTCACGTGGTCCCTTGAAAGCAGATCCAACACTTCCCTAACGAGAGAGACTAAGACACTTTTCTCTTAGATTCTCTATAGGGGTGGCT